AGAGGAGGGGCAACTGAGAGGGGTGGGGAGGCTGGGAGAGGTGAGGTGGCGGGGGAGGGGAGGGAGTTCCGTGGGAACACCAGGGATGGGGTGAAGAGGGAGGGGGTTCCCGGACTTCTCCTGGTCTGGACCCCACCGCCCCCCCACCACACACACACACCTCCCATGCCCAGCCATTCATGGCTGCCCTGGCTGGGGCCCAGGATCAAGACTCCTGGAATCTCCTTGAGGAGTCAATGGGGCTCTGTTTTGTCCCCCAAATCCTGATGGGAGAGCCATTCCCTCAGGCCACAGGGGGACCCGCCTCACTGCTGCCTGTGGCGCCCCAGGGCCGGGCTCACTGTGGTCTGGGCTTCCCCGGGTTTGGGCCCAGATCTCCAGAAGCTGAGAAAAGCCTGCTCCCTCCCCTCCTCCGCCCCCCCAGGGTTCCTGTGCCTGCGTTCGGAGAATGTCCTGGTCTTTGTCCTGGGCATCACCATCCTGGGTGTGTGCCACTACACGCTCACTGTCAAGGGCAGCCACCTGGCCACGCACGGTGCCCTCACTGAGTCCAGACGCTGGAGCAAGATCTGGGCACATTTCTTCGTGGAGGTGAGTCTGGGAGTGGGTGAGGCCGCTGCTGGCCAGGCGGGCATCCTCCTTGTTTGGTGCCAGTGTGCAGGCGTGTACAGCTGTGTGCCCACGTGGGCAGGTGGCTGCAGCTGCTGGGATGTGGGTCCAGGTGTGCAGCCTGCACTACAGTGTGTGTCTGTGGTGCCCTGGAAGGTGGCGGTACCTGTGGGCGGAGAACTGTATGAGGGGATGTACGAGTATCCATGGCGGTGGACTCGGCCTGGGGACCCCTGCTCCTCCGGGGGCACCCGCTCAGCTCTCTGCAGCACTAGGCCAAGTGGTGACAGGCTTCCTCCTCCCACAGACACCTGTGCCTGGCAGGTCTTAGCTACAACCTTTGGGGCCTCCTGGTTTTGCAATCAGGGTTCAAATTGTGAGGCAAGGACTGAAGGGGGCGGGGAGGAGGTGCCGGTGTCAGTGTCCCAGCTCCGGAACACGCCCGGTGATGGCTAGCCATCCTAAGAAGGCCACTCCCTGCTCCCCCAAGTCTGCTCCAGGAAGGACCCTCCTCCTCCTGACCCTGCACCCCCTCTTCCTGCCCCTCCCCATCCTGCATTGGCCTTCTCACTCTGGCCCTTGGGCAAGGCCAGGGAGGCAAAGGTTTCTGGCCAGCTGCCCGTCTCTGGACTGGTTTCAGGCCTCTCCGGTTGCCCTGCGGGACTTGTTCCCTCCTCACCCCCTTCCAGGTGGGCCGAGGCCTGGCCAGCCAGGCAGGGGGCAGTGTAGGGCCGGCCTTGGGAGCTGCCCTCCCCGCTGCATTCCCAGCCCCACTGGCCGCCTGACCGGGCCTGTTATCCAGTTCAGCATCTAAGTGTTCACTTCCTCATCTAATAAACAGGACTGACCGCATTACCTCCCTGGAAGCCAGTGTGGGGATTCACGGAGACCTTGACCTAGGGCCTGGGCCTGCTCTTTGATGCTTGTTAGTGTTAGCTGTGCTTTCTGTTCTCCGAGGGAGCCTGACGCAGCGGGGAGGGGAGGAGAGGGAGCGTGCAGTAGTGGAGGGAGCGCAGCAGCTAGGAGGGGTTAGCAGTTTTTGTTGTTCGTGTTTGTTTAGAACGGAAAGGTGGATGCAGTTATGCAAAGCAGACAGAACTGTGTGTGTGTGTGTGTGTGTGTGTGTGTGTTGGCGGCCTTGGCTGTGGCTCTGGCCCCCCACCTGTTCTCTGTGTGTTGGCGGCCTTGGCTGTGGCTCTGGCCCACCACCTGTTCTCTGCGTTGCACAAAGGACCAGCTCTTGCTGCCCAGGACCCTCCTGGACCCCTGACTGTCCACTTCTCCCATGTCCTGCTGTCACTCTTCTTGCTGGGTGCGTGAGCTCGCCCATCACTATAGAATAATCTAGTCCTCCACTCCACAGCCTTCAGTGCCAGCTGCGTGTCGTTGGCTTTCCTGGGCACCCAGTTTGCCAGGTTCGTCTCAGGGTCTGCTGGCTCCAGCTGGGTGGGCAAGGTCCTAACCCTCTCTGACCCAATCTCAACATGGGGGGGGGGAGGGGCACGCGGTTGGGAGGGGGCAGTGACACTCCAGGTTGTTGTTTCTCCCTAAAGTGTCCGGAATCATACACACCTCCCCACCCAGCGGGAGCCTCCCTCTGAAGACTCACTTCCGGTCTACACGGGAAAGTTCCAGTCCTCCAGCCTCCCTCTGACCCTCTCCAGCCCACTGACAACCTGCCGGCCCACCCTGGCCCGGGTGATGTCACCGGGACTGCCGCGAAGGGCCACAGGAAGGTGGGGGAAGGCGGGCGGCCGGGCCACCACCGGTTAAGTCCCGAAGCTCGGGAAGGATTAACTCCTGAAATCAGAGGGACCTTAGACACTCCCCTCGTCCCTCCTAGATGCTCCCAGAGTGGGAGGGAGCAGGCCGAGCCAGGTGCTAAGCTCCACTGTTTCTCAACTTCCGGGCGGGCGGGTCACAGCTGCTCCAGAGAGCACAGCCCAGCTCTGCCCCAGGAGTCTCACCCACGGGGAGGCCCCACCTCCATCCAAGGCCTTTGTGGTGGCGGAAACGGAGCCAAGAACCCAGCCTGGTCATAATTCTCGAATGTTCCCTTCCCACGAGTTCAGTGTGGCCATTATCCTCAGGGCTGACTCTCCGACCTTCTCCCTGCGTTTTTCCACCTGAGCCTCGAGGGGTGGGAGACTGCGTGGGATCAGCTGTGACTTAAACATTTTTTTCTTTTTTACTCCTGACCCGATGATACTTTCCCCATTGATTTCTAGAGAGAGAAAGAGAGAGGGGGAGGAAGGGGGAGAGAGAGAAACATTGATGTGAGAGAGACACATGGATTGGTCACCTCCCACACGCACCCCCAACCAGGGCTGGGGAAACCTGTAACCAGGTACATGCCCTTGACCGGGAATTGAACCTGAGACCCTTCAGTCCTTAGCCTTGTGCTCCAACCACTGAGCCAAACCGGTTTTGGCGACTCTTTTCTTTTTTAAAATATATTTTTATTGGTTTCAGAGAGGAAGGGAGAGGGAGAGAGAGAGAGAAACATCAAAGATGAGAGAGAATCATGGACGGGCTGCCTCCTGCATGCCCCCCACTGGGGATGGAGCCTGCAACCCAGGCACGTGCCCTGACTATTTCTCGAACCATGACCTCCTGGTTCATAGTTGTCATTCTCTGCTGTGACCGAGTCATAGTCCATTGTATGTACGCACCACTTCCCCTTTACCCGCTCATCTGCTTCCATAGCTCGGCTATTATAAATAACGCTGCAGTGAACATAGGATAGGGGTGCATATATTTTTTTCAAATTTCTTCGGATAAATACCGAGCAGCCGGACTGCTAGATCACATGGCAGCTCTATTTTTAATGTTTGGAGGCACCTCCATTCTGCTCTCCACCGTGGCTGCACCGTCTGCATTCCCACCAACAGGGCATTAGGGTTCCATTTCCTCCACGTCCTCGCCAGCACTTGTTATTGATTGATTTATTGGAGATTCAGCTGGCGTTTCTTTTTTTTTTTTTTAATATATATATATTTTTATTGATTTTTTACAGAGAGGAAGGGAGAGAGATAGAGAGTCAGAAACATCGATGCGAGAGAGACATCGATCAGCCACCTCCTGCACATCCCCCACTGGGGATGTGCCCGCAACCCAGGTACATGCCCTTGACCGGAATCGAACCTGGGACCTTTCAGTCCGCAAGCCGACGCTCTATCCACTGAGCCAAACCAGTTTCGGCGGGCTGGCGTTTCTTGATGAGAGAAGCAATGCAGGAGGACTGACCCTGGGAGCAGAAGGGCATAGAAGGAGCAGTGACAGTTACTTCTTCCACCTGGGACACAACCGTGAGCCTCAAAGCCCCCGGCTGCAGCCCCCTGTGCCCGCAGCTAGACTTCTGCCTCTGGCTCGAACCAACCAAGGGGCCCCAGTGGGTGCGTGCCCTTGAGCAGGCGGGTCCTCGGAGACCAGCAGGCCTGGGAGAGATGTCACTTTAAACCAAAATACCCTCCCACCCTCTCGGGTTCTGTCCCCGTGCGAGGTTACAGAAACAGCACATCCCACCCCTGGGGGTTACACCGTCTGAGAGCAACGCAGCTGGGCCTGTTTCCGTGGGCTCTGCAGCAAGGCTGCCAGGAACCGGCATCTACCCCCGTGCCCTCTGCCTCCCGTGGACGATGCCGCAGCGACTTGTCACATCTCCCGCGTCTGTTGTAAAACTGCACTTGTGCCATCATTACCTGCGCTCCTTAGTGTCCTTCATAATTTATTTTTAAAAAATATATTTTATTTTAAAAATATTGTTTATTGATTTCAGAGAGGAAGGGAGAGATAGAAACATCAATGATGAGAGAGAATCACTGATTGGCTGCTTCCTGCACGCCCCCTACTGGGGATTGAGCTCACAACGCGGGATGGAACCGTGACCTCCTGGTTTGTAGGTGGATACTCAACCACTGAGCCATCCGGGCCGGGCCTCAGTGCCCTTTGGATGGAGCTTCTGGCTCCATTTCGGCTCCATTTCGTTCTACAGGAGGACGTCTCGGCACAGTGTGGGGACAGTGTCCTTCGCTGTCTTTTGTCTCCTGCTTGGACTCAGAGCCTGGGCCCTGCTCTGTGGAGTGAGTGGCACGTCTCCAGGGTCGTATGGCTTCTCTTGGGTGAAAGCTGGGTTTAAATTCCACCTCTGCTGCCTACGTAGCGGAGTGAGCTGGCTGGTCAAGTGGCCTCTCCTATCTGTTTCCGCTTCTGTTGACGGTAATCACAGCCCTGACCCTGGGCTTGAAGATTAGCGAGTCACGTAGCGTGCAGAACCCCGCATGCTCACTGAAGGCCTCCTGCTGCCTGAGGGGCTCACAGGGATTGGCTTCGGGGAACCCCCCACGCTCCCCCGCACACAGGCAGGCGGCGTCTTCAATACAGTGAGCAACATCTTGCGGCCGGATAAGAGGCGGGAGGAGGCTGGCCGTCCGTAGGCATCTGCATAAGAAGCACCTGAGCCCCTTTTGCATCCAGAATGGCTGTTCTCGGAGTTAGAGAGCAGCTGCTCTGACCGGCTTTGGAGAGTCCCACCGATGCTATAGAGGAGCCACCCCAGGGAGCCGTTCACCCCGGCACCCTCATCCCGGGTGCCACCCGCGTGGACAGCTTAGGACATGGCCTCCCTTCACCCCTGACTACCCCCTCCCTGCTGTAGGCTCAAGGAGCAAAGGCGAGCCCTGAAGGTACAGATGTTTCCAAGATAAACACGCACCACATGATGGCAGCCTGATGCCGGGAGCGGGCCTTGTCCAGTCCTCTCGGGCTGGCAGGTTGGCTGGATGGTCAGGGGCAGCGTGGCGATCTGGGGAGCGGCCTCGTGCCCCTAACACCAGGTGGACACAGTTACTCTGACTGCTGCCACTCGTGGTCACAGACACCTGAGAGTTGATGGTCAAGGCTGATTAGCTGGGGCTGTGAGCGAGGCAAGAAGGCCCTGGGGCGGGGGTGGTGTTCTCGAGGCTCCCAAAGGCCCTGCTGTGCTGGGCTGTGCTGACCTGGACCCCGGGGCCCTTCCTGGCTGCCTCCTCTAGGTGTGCACGGCCTTCCCCGCCGAGGACGCCCGGTACGGGCACGTCAAAATGCACCACGGCTACACCAACGTGCTGGGCCTCGGGGACTCGAGCACCTGGAGGCTGCCCTGCCTCAACCGCTACGTCTACATGTTCCTCGCGCCTCTCCTGATCCCCATCCTCACGCCCCTGGTGGCGGTCGGTGAGTGTGCCGGGCCTGGGTCCCGTGTGGCCGGCAGAGACCTGGTCTCCCCTCCTCGCGCGTGGAGGCTGCTCAGGGAGGAGGGGAGGAGCCCTGAGTTAAGGCTGGACAGGAACTTTCTGAGGCAGCCAGGCTGGGTGGAAAGAGCTCAGACCCGGGGCCAAGTCTGGCTTAGCCGCGTGCAGGCTGGTGACCTCAGGCAGGTAACTTAACCTCTCTGAGCCCCGGGTTCTTCCGTGCTCATTATTACCTGATGAGGCCATAGATGTAAACACGCGTTGAAAATGCCTCGCACTGTATTGCCTGTTAGAATTTTTTTTTATATTTTTAAAAGAAACTTTAAAAAAAATTTTCATTGATTTCAGAGAAGAAGGGAGGAGATAGAAACATCAATGATGAGAATCATTGATCAGTTGCCTCCCACACGCCCCAGTGAGCCCGCAACCTGGACATGTGCCCTGAGTGGGAATCGAACACTGACCTCCTGGTTCATAGGTCGATGCTCAATCACTGAGCCGCGCCGGCCAGGCGCACGTTAGACTTTTTAATATCATGGGAGCAAATCCTCTGGTGGACAGACAGGGGCTGGGGGGCGGCAGACCTGGATTCAAGCCCCAGGCCACCAGTCGCTGTCAGAGTGACCCCGGTCAAGCTGCCTAATGCTCCATTGCCTCATCCGTAACGTGGGTGAGTCTACTTTCAGGGCTGAGTGCAGATGACCCAGGTCGCCTAGTGAGCACCACTGGGCCGGCAGGGAGCCAGCTGTGCTGGGAGCCTTGCCCGCCCGTCACTGTGTTTCTTGCCCCCTGGCAGAGCGGCTGAGGAAGGTGAGGCTCGGGGCAGCTCTGCGGGCGCTGGGCCTGATCTCCCTGGGCCTTTATTCCCACTACTGGCTGCTCCGGCACGTGTCTGGCTTCCGGAGCCCCGCCTCGGCCCTGGCCTGCATGCTCTGCACCAGATCCCTGCTGGCCCACCCCTACCTCCACGTTAACGTCTTCCAGGTGAGGCCTCCCGCCCTGGGCGCCGGGGACCACGGGGTACCCAGACCACGCCCCTCACCGGACAGATGGGGAGAGAGGCCCAGAGATGGACGAGGCTGAGCTCGGGGTTCAGCCTCTTCCAGGACCCGCCCGAGTGGGAGTTGGGGGGGGCAGAAGGGCCCACTGATCCCTGCGTGCCGGCGAGGACACCGGGGCGGGGTGGGGAGGTGCAGGAATGGCTCAGGCCGTGACCCGCGTGTCTGTCACAGCACATCGGGCTGCCCATGTTCTCCCGGGACAAGAAGCCGCGCCGGATTCACATGATGAGCCTGGGGGTGCTGAACCTGCCCCGGCTGCCCGTGCTGGACTGGGCGTTCGGCCACTCCATCATCAGCTGCCACGTGGAGCACCACCTGTTCCCCACGCTCTCCGACAACATGTGCCTAAAGGTAGTGGGGGTGGAGCCGGAGGGCTGGTAACCGGCAGCATTCGCCTGAACCCTGCGTCCCCCAACTGGCCTGGTCAGACGTCCCCAGTGGGGGTTTCCGGCCAGAGACACGTGGGTTTCTTATTAGCAGTGCGACTCACCAAGTTCATGGGCATCTCGGAGCCTCAGCTTCCTCATCTGACCTGGGCAGATGAGGAGCACGCGGTGCTTCCATGCACAGGCCTTGATGAAGTGGAGAAATGGATCTGAAATGCTGGGCACGCAGTAGGTGCTGCTAAAAGGAGCAACTCTCCTATCTGTTTCTGCTCCTGTTGACGCTAATCACAGCCCTGACCCTGGGCTTGAAGATTAGCGAGTCACGTAGCGTGCAGAACGCCCGCATGCTCACTGAAGGCCTCCTGCTGCCTGAGGGGCTCACAGGGATTGGCTTTGGGGAACCCCCCACACTCCCTCGCACACAGGCAGGTTTGTACCCTCTGTGCAAGGACTGTCCTAGGGGATGCTGCGGTGTGTGGGGGGGAGTCTGCCCCCCTTTCCCTTGCCTGCTGGGAGGGGAGAGGCAGGAACTCTGCAAGCCCCCAGCTCCTCCCGAGCCTGTGGAGCTAGGCAGACAGGAGCGGGCGCTGGGAGGAAGGAGGGCCCCGGGAAGGGCCTGCCCGCAGCCCACAGTCCGGCTCATCGCGCCTCCAACCGCCCACCTTCTGGCAGGTGAAGCCCGTGGTGTCCCAGTTCCTCCGGGAGAAGCGGCTGCCTTACAACGAAGACACCTACCTCGCTCGCTTCCTGCTGTTTCTCAGTCGCTACGAGGAGCTCCTGGTGCACGCGCCGCCCATCACTGAGCTGGCGGGGCTGCAGTGAGGGCGCTGGCATGGTCCCCTGCTCCCCTGCCCCGGCCCAATCCCGGACCTGCTTGTCACTCGCCGGCGGGGCTGCTGGTGGCACTGGGCGGGCAGAGAGCCAGGGAGCTGGTGTTTCTCTGGGCTTTGCGGGGTGCATGGAGGAGAGGGGTGTGTGGAGAAAGGAGAGGGGTGTGTGGAGGGGAGGGGTGTGTGGAGGAGAGGGGTGTGTGGAGGGGAGGGGTGTGTGGAGGAGAGGACTAAAGGTGGCTGGGCATTCTGGGGATTCTGGGCAACCTCATCTCAGGACCACATAGCTGGGCTCCTGCCCGGCTTGGCCTGAGCCTTGGTAGGGCTAAGGGAGGGTGACCAGGTGAGGAGGGGCCTGTGCAGGGGGCAGGCAAGGAGGGGGCATCCAGAGAGCAGGTCAGTCCTCAGCTAGGGTCTCCCTGGCACTGGGAGAGTCGTATACGCAGCTGGCCGCTGCTTCTTCCTGTGCCCGGGAGCCTCGGGCCTCTACGGAGCCCTCTCGCAGGGACCACGGGGAGGTGACTTTGGCAGGATCTTCCCAGCTTCCCGGCCAGAGGAGCCTGTGCAAGACACTGGCTCAGCAGCTCCCAGGAGCCGCAGCCTCAGGGCGAGCAGAGCGTGCTTTATAAATAAAGAGGACATTCCCGGTTCAGGAAGTAAGGGGAGACAGAGTATAAATAGCTTTGAGTGTGATCTTGGCTAGCTCCCCAAGTCTGCCTTGTTCCATGACATTTAGAAGGACAGGACCTGGAAGAATTATCAGAGAGAGAGAGAGAGAGAGAGAGAGAGATTACTGGGAAGGTAACAGGTCAGGGTGATGGGCACAGGGTCTGGAGGGCAGTGACTTTAGAGAGGAAGGAGGAGAAGGAGGTGGGGTGCAGACACAAGTCTAGGGCTGGGCCGGGCAAGCGTCGTCCGCAGCCCGGGAGCCAGCTGCACGGGCAGACTTGAGAGAGGGCCCCAGCTGCCCTGGCTGGGCTGGAAGAGGAGGCGCAGGAAGGGCCCAGCTGGAGGTCGGGGAGGAACAGAGAAGGGGGCCGGAGCGCAGTTTAACCAGCGTTTCTCCCCTCCGCACTATGACACGTTGCCGGGAATGCTCTGTCGATGGGCCTGTCCGGTGCTTTGCAGGGTGTTCAGCGGCATCCCTCGCTTCTACCCGCTACGTGCCCCGAGTCCAAGTGGTGACAGTCACACATGTCTGCAGACACGGATGAGAACCACCCCTGGTTGACAGCATAAATCATGATCTGAGGGCAGAACCGCCTTGGTTTTCAGTGAGGTCCTTGGGCGGGTGAAAGGCACGCGGACCCTGTTGATGGGCTAAGTCAGCGAACGGGGTTGGGCGGCAGGGTCAGATGGCAGCTGAGAGGCATTCGCTAGGCCTGGTCCTGTGGGAGAACCCACCTCTGGTGTGGCCTGAGGTGGCTCTGCTGGGTGGCTGCCATCCGCCTCTCCCCGTCCTTCCCCCACTCCTCTCTACCCTGCCCCTCGCATAGCC